ATTAATACTTTGCCCTTGTATGACCTGGCCACATACTTGGTCTTAATTCATAAATATGAACTAAAGTCCTGACACATTTTGCATCATTGTTTGATTTTGAAGAAAGATTTTGATGTACAAAATATTAATGCACTTGTAGGGCAATGTAATTGTCAGGGTCGGTAGGGTTACTTTAAAATTTTAATACAATTACTAATTACCTGTTAAAAATGGAGTCAGTAACCTAATCCAAGTATCACAATATTAAAGTAACATAACTCGATTACTTAACATTACTCTCAGAGTACCTCAACACCAAATATGTAAATAAAAACCATAAAAAAGAAATGTCAATAAAAAGTATTGAAGTTTATTGTATAAGACAGCCGAACAAAGTGACCTTTGAAAAAAAAAGGGAAACATAAAAGATTTTTAACATCAATAACTGTCCTCTGCTCAGTGTATTTTTAAAGAAAAACTGATGTATTTCAAAATTATAATACAGCTAAATAATCTAAATTATCTAAGTTTTTTTGGTATCCTGATTATGTAACTCAGTTACATGTAATCAGTTACTCCCCAAGCCTGGTTATTGTATAGGCAGTAAAGAAAATCCTGTGATACTGGGTGACTTATGTTTGAAGGATTAAACTATGAGTAAACTATGATCCAAGTATTTTAAATCTCTCCAACAGTTAGTTTTAGTATAGCATTATGTTGCTAGTAGCAACCATGACTTGTTTACACCCATGGTGCAACTGTTGATGTGTCTTATTAACAACAGCTCACATATTGTACAATCTCAAGTAAAAACAGACTCTTAATTAGACACAGGTCCCCTTTACTAGCCTGGTGTGGCTACAAATAAACACAGGTCTCAATTAGATGTCTCATCTGGATTTTATAGAAATTCTTTGGATGATGTCTGACATTTATGTGAAGGTAGGAAACTTTGGAAAAGGCAGTTTATTGGTCATTTGTAGCACAGCTAGTCCTGTGCAACATAAACACCCACTGTAAAAAAACTATTACATCTTTTCAAACTGTTCCCAGCACTCACTAAGAAGGTGGATGCCAACTCCAAAAAGAAGGACTGCAGGAAGGTCACATTGAGCAAAAATCAGCTCTACTGCTCAGCATCCAGTGGAAAGGAAACAGTGGCAAAGTAAACATATCTCTCAACCACATCCAGTAATTACATGTTCATAAAAAATGCTCCAAATGAATATCCCCAAGTGCCTCCACCCCCTTGACAAAAACAAGTGGCTGAAGTCTGGTACGCCACTATTCAATAGCAATTATGTCATTTAATTAGAATCCTGTTATATGCTCTCAGCTGCTATGCACTCATCATCTCGTATGTGCTTGTTATTCTCGTTCCCCCTCTAGCAACAAAGGCCACCTACAAGCTGGAGAAGGCGCTAATGAACGGCCGTGCTCTCGGTGATGTGAAAAAGCTGAGCCCTCTCTACCAAACGTCTGCCTTCATGGGGTTCTGCAGTCTCATTCTGCAGTTCACACCAAAAACACAGCCTTCTCATACTTAACGGTGCACGGCAGGTCAATTGTATAGTAATCATGTTGTCAATACAGTGTAGTTACAGGGCTCCAAAGTGCTACCAGTTGACTCGCCTATTAAACAAGTAAAAACCTGGCCAGTGACAATTAAAACATTTAATTTGTGAATATTCTTGTTTGTAATATGAATGTAATATTCTTGTGTATCTGCTGCTTTTTAATTTTCTGGTGCTCGTATCTACCAGACACTGGTACCACTGATGTTAAACTTTAGCTTTTAGCCATTTATAAACTGTTTTGCAGTAATCCCATACAAATTATTCTCATTTCAGCCTTTACCTGGCCACATTGCATTTCAATGAATGTGCGTACCCAAGCGAGGACTGCAGCAGGAGAACTGCAGTTCCAAATTAAATTTCCCAAGGCCAAGAGACAGAACATGTCCTCCATGTTGTGTCTGTGGTGAAGACCAACTATGCTACTGGTAAGTTAATTCTAAGTTGTCTGATGCAAGTTTTCATTTCCATGCTAATAGATGCATGATTCCAAACACATTTACCAAGGCAAGGTGTAGAACTACAGTTGCCAGCATGACGAAATTATAAATGAGCAGTTAACACAAAATGTCTCTTTCTGTAGTTGGTTTACCTTTGTAACAGTTTATCAAGAGCCATACGCAGCAAATAAATGACTCAAACTGTGCGCTATGTGCTGTCTCCTGTGTTTTACAATATGTCGCTGAGCATATGGACCTCCTCTTTAATGAGGTCATTCATGGTCCTGCTCCCTTTATGGCTGAGCTGAAAGAAGTTGCTGTTCCTGGATTCCTGTGCTCACACTATGAGCAAGCCGAGAAGGCATATACAATTGCTAGCCATGTGTTTAGATCCAGCTGTCCAGGTGGGATGGGAACGGTTCCAACACATGGAGACCAAACACCTGTCTCACCCCACAGCCCCTTTCCTAATCAGCTGCTTTCTGCCAACAGTGTAAGTCACCATCTTCACCGTACGATTGTGGTCCTTACTCAAGATTTTTTTATGTGGATAATATATTAACTTTATATTACTCAAACTCTGCCCCTTGTGTATTTCACAACGTGAGCAATACTCTGATGCATAATTTTCTTTTGATATCAATGATGGTCACGATGATGTAACGGCGGTCATGATTGCTAATCTCTCTATTCTTTGTTCCTGTCTTGTTTTCTTTCTACATGGTAGTCCAGATTTGACACCAGTGTTTCCCCCTTGTGCCGTTGTCAGTGTCTTCCTCAAGTGTATCTCTTGCCTCTGTGTTCCTGCGACTGAGCTCTTGCCTCAGCCCACCCCTGCACTAGAGCCCCACCAGGCACCTGTTTCATAAAGTAAGTCATGACACACATACAAATATGTCATTTTGTCTCAAAGACTGATTGACAGCTGTCCAATACTTGTTTATCTTGTCTTGTATCTTGTTGTCATTGCTGCTGCTGGTCACTGAAAGTTACCAAACAAAATGACACATAAAGTGTCCTATGTCTTATTAAAAGTGTATTGAAAGAATGAATAATTGTGTACATATCAGATATCTGGAACATAACAATATATACAGTATCAGTTATTTTGAATGGTATGTACGTAGTAGTAATTTAAATGGGAGGTTTAAAGCCTATGTACTCCCAGTCTTCATCAGGGTACTCCTGAAAAATACGGAGCACAACACAGTAATAATATTGGGAACAATCGAACAGTAAAGTTATCTGAACAGTTCAATCAATTCACACCCAATAATAACAAACTTTGTTCGTAGAAGAAGAGGTTACAGCATTCACACCCAAGCAGATATTAGATATAACTATTCAAACTCATGAGAAGCCTGATTTCTAGCCTCATAATCTCTCTTGATAACTCCCAAAATGAGTCTGTTATCATTTTATGTGGAACAAATCCATATCTACATTCTTATTAAACAGCCCATTGCCATTGGAGTACAACAGCAGCTGCACTCGCAAGCTGCTGAAAAAACAACACAACGAGAGATCATGAAGAAGAAAAATATTTTAAAAAAGGTGCATGTGTGGGGATGCTGAGCAAACAACTCTGCATGACAAGACAGCCCTCCTCTCCTGGGACCTGCAGTCTCTGAACCGTAGCCTTCAATGAAAAACACGGCTGCTAAGTCGTCATCATGGAGATGTGTTATGTCAAGGTTGAATAATGTTATACTGCACTGTGTTGAGCAGATTGTACAGTTTCTGTGGAGCTGGAGTGGCCTCAGCCCCTCTGGCTGAATGCCCAGCCGGCTCTTTAATGCCATTTGGAGTCAGGTTAAGCAGTCTGAAGGAGCTGCTCATCTTCACCATCAGCCAATGGGGCACATCGGGGGCGCTGTGTAATTCTGGGAAATGAGTGGAGTAGGCTAGTCTATACTTTCACTGACCTCTAATACTTGATGCAGCCGGCTGTACTCACTCTGAGGAGGGTAAATCTGATCAGCGTAAAGCTATATGGTGTAGATTTAATAAACCTCTGTGGGTATTCAAGTGCAGTTGATGTCATATGAGTCATTGCTGTCACTGTGTGAAAAAGGTGAAGAAAGTCAGCAATTAATCCTTGAAGAACTGCAGTAATAAAACTTGGATTATGGTTACATCATGTGGTAAACAGTGTGTCTTAGTACTCCATTCAGAAGTCGTACTCAGAGTACCCATGTGTTGTTTTATAAAACAGACTTAGACTTTTTAGAACCAATTTGTGTTCAATATTTGAACAAATAAGCAAACAAACGCATCAATACCACACACATTGTTTGTTACCAACAGTACTGAAGGTTTCAATGTTGCATTGTGTTAATTATTGCTAACCGAGGTTAGCTTCAATTAAACCTACCACAGGGAGTTTTTTTTTTGTGTGTGGCTTTTATTGCCTTTATGATAGTGACATGTACTGAGTCCTCGTGCGCAGCGGCCCCAGGGCTTTCGAATCTCGACGCCTGCAGCCTCTTGCGCGTGTCATCCCCTCTCTCTGCCTCTTTCCTGTCTGTCATTCAGC